TGTAATTTTAAACTGGTAAAACCGAAAAACTATACAATTTTCACCCTAATACGTTATTATGAATTCTATAATGATTACCAATTCTAAGGACCTGTTTACTGTGCTTTTTAAATAAAATATTCTTTACTTTAATTGCTCAGCACCTCTGTTACATAATATTGTAAATTATAGTTCAATTAGACCAACACACGACTTTTCACAAGCGACACTTATCCTGAATCCTATTGATTGTCAAGTTATGATCAAAAAATGAACTTTCGAATGCTGCTAGTATAATTTATAACTATTGAAATTTCACTTTTATAATTTTATCGTTGACTGTTACTACATTGTCCATACCAGATGGGTATTATGCACCGAGTGATTTCAGGTCGATTGACGAGCGAAAAATAAACGAATCTGCATGCTGAATATATTGAGATTAAATCAACGAATTTACAAAGAGTTGGAGACTAACAGGGACTGCAATCGATAATTCCATTCATCTTGAAAACTCCTTATTGTTAATTAGAGATTGCTGTTTATAGTAACCTATTCATCAAATCTACCGCTACTTATTTCTATTTACCTTCTATTTTATTTATTTGCAGCACCTTTGATAGAGGATTCCGCTTGTCTCTACCTGAAATTCATAGTTATTGAAACATGTATTTTTCTCTATTTTAATAAACTGTGCCAGCACAAATATTCTTCGTGTGATAGAATACAATTATTGTAATGTCCTTTACGTTGAAAATGTTCGATAAAATTTTATAAAAGGAAAAAGGATGTGGAAAAATGGGTACGTTATTATGAATTCTATTATGATTAGCAATTCTAAGACCCTGTTTACTGTGCTTTTTAAATAAAATATTCTTTACTTTAACTGCTCAGCACCTCTGTTACATAATATTGTAAATTATAGTTTAATTAGACCAACACACGACTTTTCACAAGCGACACTTATCCTGAATCCTATTGATTGTCAAGTTATGATCAAAAAATGAACTTTCGAATGCTG